CTCACCAACATTTTGCTTTTGACCACCTCCCCCCCCAGTTCCTCCTCCCTTCTATTAGTCCCTTCCCTTTTCTTCCCTTTTACCCTTACTACTTCTTCCCTCCCTTTTCTTTTCCCTTTTCCCTCCTACTGCCTATAGGGCAAGTTAGATTTCTATACCTAACTGATTACGTTATTACCTTCTTGAGCCAAATCTGATGAGAATAAGGTTCAACCAATGTTCATCTTCCTCCCTTCTTTCTTTCTGGTGTAATAGTTTTTTTTTTCCTATAATGTACTGGACAGATGTTCCTGTCTTTGTTTGGTTCAACTGTTCCAGGGCATTTACTGGGGTGATATTTTCTGGGCTTCCAGAGGTTGATATGGGAGTGGAAGAGTGGCTTACTTCTTACTCCTCCATCTTGGCTTCCAGAAGCGGAATGGCTTCCCAACTGTGATTTTCAAGGAGTCATTTTCTTCATTAAGATCATGGATCTTTCTTTCTAATCATCTTTCTTTTAATAATCTTTTTTTTGGATTGTATTTCAGTTTTGTTTTTGTTTTTAGTTTTTCCTCAATCTCTCTCATTTTATTTTTAAAGTCTTTTTTAAGTTATACAAACTCTTTTTGGACAGGTGGCAATTTAACATTATTCTTTGGGGTATAAGAGGGTTTCTTTGCTTTACTATTCTCCTCTGAAGATGGAGCCTGGTCTACTTTATTCCCATAGTAATTCTTTATGGTTGGATTTTTTTCTCCTTTTCCTGTGCATTTTTTTTATAACTTAATTTTTGTAATCTCCTCTAGTGCTGGGGGATGGGGAATGGTGTCTTTGGCCTCAAATCTTCCTTCAGTTCTCCTTTCTGAACTTGAACCCAAATCAAGTTCTCCAGCCTCCTGTAAGTGACCACAGCTAGACGTGTCCCCACTCCACTGCTTCTGCACTGAAGAGGTGTGTGCTGGTTACTTGTCACCCTGGCCACTTCTCCACAGCACAGCCGGGTCTGGAGTTACTTTACAGCAGAGATTCCCTCCATCTTCCCTGATTCAGATGCCTAACTCTCATCACTGTCTCAGGAGTAAAACTTCCTGTGACTGGGGCTGAGGCAGCCTCTCAATCCAATTAACCCCAGGGCTTGCTGCTTGTTTTTTAAGTGGTCTCTAGCCTGAAGGTGTTTACTCTTCACAGAGATCAAACCTTGTCATATTTTTCTTCAGATCTTCTCTGGTTGTCCCAGAAGGACACCTGTTCTGTCTCTTCTCTATTTTTACTGCTCCATTGCCCGGAGGTGATATTTTTTCTCTGTTGTGGAGGAAAATCTTGAGAGCTTGAATTTCTCTGACCTACTCCACCATCTTCCCAGAATCCTCCTCTCCCAATTCACATTTTTCTTTGAGGCTTTGTATGTCACTATTTTGACATTGCTGTCTTCTTCCAAGTTCATGTTTTGCTCTTCCTGGCCACCTTAGTAACTTTCTATTGTCAAGTCTCTTTGTTGTTGTTATTTGCTCATTTTTTTCTATCCTATTTCTTGACTTTTACCTTTCCATTAACATTTGACATTGTTCCTAGTTTTCTTATTGTTGTTTCAGAGCTAGTTCTGGGGGTCTACAAAATTTTAGTTCTTCCAAGGTGATATGATGTAAGGAGATGTGTGGTCTCTGCTCTTCTGGCTTGTGCTCTGGTCTGTTTGTGTCAATACATTGTTACGTCATGATTTCTGAATTCAATCCCAGAGTGTCTTACTCAGTCTAATAAAATTTATTAAAATATTTAATGAAGCATTTTTTTCCACAACAGAAGACAAAAAAAAATACTCCTAGGAAAATCAGTGCTACCTCTATATAACGTCACATTAACAAAATGATATTTCTCCTTAATCATTAGGAGTTCATTATGTAGACTATTCAGTAGTGTCCAAATGTTAGTGTCATACTTATATGTGTAAACACATAAACACACATGTCTGAATATTAGTGTCATATTTATGTGTGTATACATATTAATACACATGCCCACAAATGTATTTACATAGTATATACATTCTACTGATATTTCCATGCTCTCCTCTTAAACTAGTAACCACATAAGCAAAGACATATTTGAACCACTGTTTTAATTATTTTTTCTCTTCTCTGAAAAATCTACCTATACTTCAATATTTTACTCTTAATGACTCTAGTAATGAATTTGTCATTTTCAAATATAAATTCCTTGATAGTATTTTCTATTACATATCTTATTCATGTATGACTAGTTTTGTTCCTCAGATCAGATAATGATAGATTTACATCTAGCCAGGTCAATTAGTCCAACTCTCTATTTTATGGGTGTAAATTGAGCCTCTGAATGGGTTAGTGCTTTTGAATTCATATACTTGACCTTCAACTCCAACAGCCTATATACAATTTGAAACCATCTTAAAGTTTGCTACCATAGACCCTTCAACTCTTCATAAAAATGCAGTAGACCAGAGAATGTAATCCTTTATGGGGTAAGTGGATGGGTTTATGCTTATAAAACTCAATAAAGCACAATGCTTTATGAGGTGACAAACTTGAAAAATTGAATGTGTCATTTATAAATACCGTGAATACTCCACTTGAAAATGAATACTTAACTAAAAGGAGTTGCTGTGAAAAAGAGAAGGTGATGAGAGGCTTATTCAATTATCTTAAAATGTCTTTTGTAGCTTTGTCTAGCAGAGAAGTTCCCAAACTTATGTGGCCTGCTGCCCCCTTTAAAAAAAAAATTAGCATCCTCCTAGAAATCTACTTTCTTTAACTCTTTAATGGTTTTTTATTTGCATAATTTCAAATGTGCATCATTTCAAAATTGCCTGTCAATACTACTCACTGAAATAATCCTGTAGTTGGATGGAGTCATAAAATTACTCCCTCCAAAAAACATCTGGAATATAAATCCATTACTGTGGGCTGCCTGTGTGATTTAAGTGATTTCACTAATGTAAATGTAAATTGCTTCTCTGAGGATAACTGAAATATTATTGATCCCTTTGTGTATAATCATCATGCCTTTATAAAAACTTCATGGAAGAGAGATGATTATGTAAGATTGCAATATATTCAAATGACTCATACAATTTATTGGTTTTCTATGATTCAGCATGTATTTGAGTAGCACTAACAGTTTGCTGTGTTTTGGATGTGCTATTAGCAGCCAAGAAATACGCATGATATAAAAGCACAAGAATAATAGCAAATATATCATATAAGAGCTTTTCAAATGTTCTTTTTATGAAAATTCTGGAATGAATTTAATTTATATTCTACTTGGTTTCCTGTGACTCCATTAGAAAATCTTGCATATTTTCTTCTATCTCGGCTTGAATCTCAGTGCTCAGTATTCCTTAATTTCAATCTGCACATGGACTTACTTTTTCTGACTGTTATCAATCAATCAGTCTATCAGTAAGTATTTATTAAGTACTTATAAGGTGCCAGGAGTAGGTGATTTCAGAGGTAAAACCGAACCAAGTACAGATTTTTCCAATCTTTCTATTTGTATCTTCCTTACCTAGAATAGTATTTGGTACACCACAGGTACTTAATGAATGCTTTTGTTGATTGAATCTTCCTCAAGGAGATTTTATTTTATACCATGTTGTATTTATGATACAACATGACATACTTCACATCAGTAGATACAGAATCTATGCAAAGTAAATAGATAAAATTTTCAGATGTGGTACACTGGAAGTTTATGTAATTAGAGAAGGTCTCATGTAAGATGTGGTACTCTAGCTGGGATTTTAGAAGAGCAAGGGGATCCTTGTTTGTTCATGTTTTCTCTGTCTCTCTATATATGTGCCACAGACACACATGTAGATAGATAGATAGATAGATAGACAGACAGACAGACAGACAGACAGACAGATAGATAGATAGATAGATAGATAGATAGATAGATAGATAGATAGATAGATTGATTGATATATTGCCCCAGTAGAATGTAAACTCTTTGCTGTCAGGGATGATTAACTTTTTTTAATGCTCAGTATTTGGCCCTCAGTATCTCAGTAAAGTTTTATAGTAGGGGCTGAATATATGACTGTTGAATTGAATCAAGTTGACTTCACCATTTTGTGCGTGTGTCTCCACTAAAGTGGCAGACATGAAGCATGAACACACTTCCTATCATACTGTACCGAGTCCCTATCATACTGTACCGAGTCCATTTCTTTTCTGAGATTAAATAGATTTCTTGTTGCCAGAAATTCTACTACCACCACCCTTCCCTCACCAAAAGAGGCAAATTATCATAGAAACATTAGAAGCAGCCAAGTAATTTTAAAGCCAATGAATCAGCATAATTTTATAGAGAATATTGTGGTTTCTTGAGTTCATTTAATAGAATCACAAAATAGAACACTATAACTCTACAGTATATCAATTTAAAAAAACACACTTATTTTATGCTATGGGCAAAACAGAGAAAGAGAGAGAGAAAGAGACAGACAGAGACAGACAGACAGACAGAGAGACAGAAAGAGACAGAGAGAATGAAAAATGATATTGTTTTAAAAAATAGGTCCCCTGTGCTTCTTGGGGGATTCATAGTGGAAAGGATAATGAAATGCAGTAATATAAAATAGTAGTTATTATTTTGCAACTTATTTAGCATTTTCTACATCTCTTGCAAACTTATTTTCTCCTGTATAGTTGAAAATACTTTTTCCCAATACAGGTCAAAGGCTAAAAAGTAAATGGCCAACTTCTACTAAAACTTATGGCACACTGTAATCTTTTTTTTTTTTGCTTTTTGGGGGGTCAATTGGGGTTAAGTGACTTGCCCAGGGACATACAGCTAGTATGTATACATACAGCTAGTATGTATCAAGTATTTGGTCTGAGGTCAGATTTGAACTCAGGTCCTCCTAACTTCAGGGCTAGTACTCTACTCACTGCACCACCTGACCTGTAACACTGTATGCCATGAACCAGGTGAAGGTGTAGATGAGGGCCAAACATTTGCACCTGGGAGTTGTGATTATCCCTTACCTTGCTGTCTCTGGAAGCAATAGCACCATTCATTGTTTGATATCAGACTATCTTTGTATGTGTCACAAGAATTGAAGAATGCTTTGGTGCATTGTTCATTCTTATCTATGTAAATGCTGCCAAGCTCTGACTGGTCCAATAGGAGGTCATAGTTTGTGTCAAGTCGGTTAAACATCCAACCAAGGGAGTCCTTGCAAATGGGCAAAATGCTGGTATCAAATCCTGGGAAGGAAAGAGATAAAATGATCAGAGGTATCCAGTAGGTATAGTCAGCAATAGCCAAAGAAAGTACTATGGTTCAAACTTGCAATTAAAACAGCTTTTCAATTAATAACACAACTTAATCCATCTCTTTCTGATTCCAATGCCACATGAGAGTCATCATGGCTCAATAAGACTGAATTACACATGCATACACACATATTCATATATACATATAAATATAAATATAAATATATATATATATATATATGAGTGTGTACATGGCTATCTAGAGACACTGTATATGCCATATCACCCCTCTCATGCACACACAAAAAATGAGTGGCAGCATGATATACTGCTAAAGAGCTGGGCCTCAAGTGTAGAAGAAATGAATGAATTCAAGGCCTGCTTATGAAACATACTGGTTGTGTGACCATGGATAAGTCACTTAATAAGCATATATATATACATATATATATATATGTGTGTGTGTGTGTGTGTGTGTGTGTGTGTATGTGTGTGTGTATGTATTTATGTACATATATGTATATGTATATATATATGCTTATAGATATACATGGGTATATATCCCTACATAGATAGTCACTAAGTGACTTCAGTATATACAATATTCTTTTTTCCCATTAAAAATTATTGACACTTTGCTTTTTAATTTAAAAACATTTATTTTATTTTTAATTTATGGAATACAACATGCAATATCTTAGAAATACAATTTTTTTATTTATGTTAATTCCTCATTGTCCACCACATGAGTTTCTCAGAAAATGAGTAGTCTGCAACAAGTTAAGTAAAACCCAGGTTTGTGGTAGGTTCATGACAATACTGTCCATCTCATTTCATATATTCCTTCTCCCTAAAGATAGAATTACTTTCAGTATGGTAAGTTTTTAAAATCTATTGCCTCTTCTAAATTTTTACCACTACAAAGTATTCTACATGTCTTATTCCACTTAGGGATTACTCAATAACAATGACAGTCTATCTAGATGTACAATAGATTTTCCTAAAGTGCTTCTGTGACAATATAACTTTTCTAGAAAAGCTATTTCCTCCAAAATAAAACATAAATGCCTCTGACATCTACCTTCCATAACTGGGTTCTACCCTATATTTCCAGACTTAAAGACTTTCCAGACTTAAAGACTTTCCGGACTTCCCTCTCTCATACATACTTGTACTCCAACAAAATTGGCCTGCTTGTCCTTAACCTGTAAACAACATCCCATATCCTACCTCCATGCCTTTGTAGAACCTGCTCCCTTATGTTGAGAACTCTCTCTTTCTCCTGGCCAAAGCCTAATGGAATCCCTATTTTCCCTCAAAGAAAACTCAGGGACCACTTCCTACAGGAAGCCTTTCTTGATCTTGACAGATTCTAGAACTCTCTCTTTCTGCCTGAAGTCACTTTCCATTTATTAAGCATTTATAAAATGCTTATTTACATGCATATAGCTTTCCTCCCAGTACCAGAAGTTTGTAAACTTGAATTTAATTAAATTGATCACAGTTAAAAAGGAATAATTGGGTGATATGTCCTAGGTCCTAGTTCTGTTTTTTATTACTCTACATACTTAATTCTTTTGAGTTTAATTTCCACACACACAAACACACATACATACACACACACACTCCTGGCATTTGGTTCATATTTTATATAACTTTGTTCTAAAATAATGAAGCCCTCCATTACTTACTAACATTCTATTCACGGAAAATGGTGGTATAAGAGTGTAACCTAGGAAGTTCCATGAAGTTATATCTATCAGCAGATTGTAAACTCTGACAAATTATATGTGGTCTCCAATATGGGACCAGTGATTGACTGTATCTCTGTTACCTGAGGACCTGCCTAAGCTAAACTCCAATGGCCCCTCACCAAGTTGGCCACAGAGTAATGCATTTCTTGGAAAGAGCTATCCTTCAAAATTGTCTATCTCACTGAACTGTTGGGATCTACCTTCATCTACTGATGAAAATATGAATCCTTGAAGTACAGAAGTAGCAATTTAGCTACATGACACAGAAATGAAAACAACAATGGGAAATTCTTGATATATGAGAGTTTACAGATAATTAAAAGTTTAAATTTTTAAGTGTTTTAAATTTTGCAAAGTATTTTTCTCACAATAACCAGCAAGTTAGGTGGTATAGGTATTTAAAGTTTCATTTTTTTGTGAGGGGGAGTCTGGGGCTTGCAAAAAACTAAGTGACTTAAACTATATATGTATTTACTAAGTGTCAGGTACAGGGTTTAGATTACAATATCCTAAGTACAGGTCTATTATTTTTGCCTCAAATTACTTTCTCTCACAGTGTAGGACAAGCAGTGAAATGGATCTTGTCTCCAGTAGACACAAAGTTTACAAGGTCATTCATTCAATCATTCATTGATTCATTATTTATTTTTTCACAACACCTCCTCATAAAAGTAGTAATGTGTGTAAACAATACTATGTTACATCCAGGGCTGTGAAGTAGGAATGCATGATCTTCAGATTAGAGTTATCTTTGTGCTTCTTCCAAATTAGTTATTCAAGTCAAGGTTAAAGCAGCCTTCTGCCAAATTGCCTTCTTCCCTTCTAATTAATATTTATAGGAATATAAGAGAATAAACCTAAAACTGGAAGACTTCTAAACTCATCTAATTCAACCTATTCATTTTCCAGATGAAAAACTGAGGCTCAGGGAGGTTGTGATTTATATGAGGTCACATGTTCATAAATGTCATTATCACCATCCTTTGACTAGTTAGGAGATTTCAGAATATCATGTATTATTTCTGCATCATCATCATCAAAATCCACCAAGTTCAACCTCTTTGGAAGTTCCAACCCACTTTTGTCTCTCTCTGTCATTGTTCATTAACTACAAAGGAAGAATAGACCTCACACTTTTGAAAATTTAAGATAGTTTATTCTTGGGGGGGAGGGGCTTTAGAGCTCACACAGAAAGGTACTTCTATTAACACAAGTCACATTATTTTTCAAAAGCCTCATTAATATTTCTAAATAATATTTGGTATATAAAATATCACCAAATGTATAGAAAGAGGTTCTAATTACAACCTGACAGATCAACATTTTCATAAAATAATATGTCAACATAACTTAGAGGGACAGTATAATGTAGTAAGAATGGTCTTTGTCAAGGAATGAGGAAGATGGAGATCTTGTCCCAAGTCTACCAATTGTTAGGTTTTTTCCTTTGGTCCTTAGTTCCATTATCTGCAAAATGAGGGTTTTTGCTTTTTTTAAGGTCTCTTTCAACAGGGTAGTCTATTATTTTATCAATCTATGATGTCCACTGTACTATGTTCCAGAAGACTGAATAAAAAGACAACAATGGCAAGATGGGAGGATGATTGACATTATTGACTTGGGCAATTTAAGTCTATTATTTTGATATTTTCTTTCAAATGAAATGTCTGAAACATATAGAACTTTACTGGTATTTTTAAATGGATTTTCATGTATTTGCTTATGCTCTGGGAGCAACCTGTCAATATGTAATGCTTTTGAAAGCCCTGGGGTGAGGAAATTTCCTCAATACCTAAGAATCTATTTAATAGGAGCCTACTTTGGTTCCACTTATAAATTCAAGCAGGAAGCCTGAGTTCTGTATAAACCAAGAGATACTTCATTTATAGGCTTTTGCATAGATGGAACTGGGTAGATAAAGACCATTACAGCCAACCCAAATAGATTAAATTCATCCATATTGTAAGTTGTTCGAGGGAAAAACAAGATCCAGGATTTAGCTGCCCAAGTATAGTCTCATGACATTTTTTTCTGATTGTTGCTCACCTATACATTTGATATATTTGAGATGCTGAAGCTGCCCTTCAGGAAAAAAATTCACAGCTTAGTAATTGATTTTCTTTTCAAACAAATATTTTGCCATTTACATATTGAGCTATCAGGAGAAGGAAACCTTGTAGTTTTCATTTCCATGACAATAATTCATACCAAATAACTTAGCCATATTTTCCTTCAGTTTTATTATACATGGATTTCCCTATTATTCCCAAGTCTGCTCATACTTAGAGGATTTTGGTTTCCACTTAGGTTTTGCTGCTCTTTCCTTTTCTGGATTATGGAGGCTACCAGATGTCTGACACTGGCTGGGAGGATGATATCATATATAATTCAATCAAATAATTTAAGTACTTAAAACAGCAGATTTTTTTGAAAAGGATAGACATTCTGTAAGGTTCATAGTTATTGCCATTTCAATTTTAACTCCAATATACAAAGGATTCCATGAAAATTCTTATAGACCTAATTCATTATTCTAATTATGCTATGGAAGGTAGTCATTTCCTATTGTCAGAGTTACAGCCTATGAGGTTTTTTTTTTTTGAAAGGAACACTGTAGGGCTTACAATAGAGAGAATATCGCTATATCATTATGCTTCAAGCCCAATTATCCTCTTAAGAATCAACATTCTAAGTTTTAGGATTTTCTATTCAAATTTTTAGAACAATTACCTTTCAGCAATGTCACTTTCCTAACTGAACTAAAGGCAATTTAAGAAAAGTGTTAAAGGAGGTGTGCAGTAGCAGTCCAGGGTGATAAGATTAATGCCTAAATTTGTTATTAACAATAATTATGACAGCTAACAATTTTATAGCATTTAGTCTGTGTCAGGAACCATACTAAGTGCTTTATGGTTGTTATCTCATTTGATCCTCTGACTAATCCTGGAGGGTAGGTGCTATTATTATCCCTACTATACAGGTGAGGAAGCTGAGGCACATAGAGATCAAGTGACTTGCCCAAGGTCACATAGCCAGTGTCTGAGGCCAGATTCACCTTCTACTTACACCCTTCAAAACTCCCCACAACAAACACTGTGGTATCAATTTTGTTCTTTGTAGTAAATGTTTAGCTATGTTTGAGCTTAAGTAATACAACAAGTCCTGAAAAAGAAGAGTGCAATCATGGAAGCATCTCCTTCACACAAAATTTGATTTTCTCCTCCTATGCTCTTTCAT